ATGAATGCACACTGACATATGAACCAATTGTTAAGTGTCAGATTTGACCTGCCATACTATTTAAGTTTGTAAAAAATTGCAGAATGTGAACTTTGATGGTTTTTGACATTTTTGACAGCTTTAGTCTTGTACAGCCAATCAAATTATTTGAACTATTATAACAATGATTCTGATTGGCTTCTTGTAGCGTGCTTTATGAGAGTATAGAGCATGCTCACGAGACTGTTGTTCACTTTGGAATTAAAATTTATTTTGAAAATTGAAAATAATGCGTGGGGAATTTAATGGATTCTTTATTATAAAACAAATAAAGAAGCCTTGTCTGTGCTCTTTTCTGTTGTAAAGCACTTAGGAAGCAGTTAGAGCACTCAAGAAGTGGGGAGAAATACTTGACTACATCTCGTGTTTTCTCTTATTTTTCCCTACACTTCTTTTGTGCTTGAACGGCTTCCTGCGTGCTTTACAACAGAACAGAGCACAGTCAAGGCTTCTCTATTTGTTGATTAAAAGATGCATTAAGTTATTATGGAAAGTTGTTGTGAACAGTAATAACAATTTATTTTTAGTATTCTTTTAAAGAGTACAACTTATGGGAAACAACATACAGCGTATCTGATGAGAAGCTGTGAATGCTTATAATCTCTCCCTGTACTCTTTGCTCTTAGGTACTTCGCCGCTCACAGTAAAACCCACCACTGGTCATGTTAAAGAACTGATAGAGAAAGGGCAGGGAAGGAAAGGTGAACAGAAAGCTCAGTTTCAATTAATTTCTTTAAGTGAATATGTTCAGTATGTTCAGCTATTATGTCAAGTGTAAAGATGTGTGCTTTTGGGATTAAACATAAGGTTGCAAGGGTCTTTAGGTTAAAACTAAACTGACAACTATTTGAAATAATTTTAGTATTCAATTAAAAAGATTAACCTCAAAGAAATTAAAACCCAATTTAGTTTTTCCTAAATTTGTATTTTACCAGTAGATAAATTTCATGCACTTTATACAGTTGGACACATGTTGGTGTGCTGTGTTTTTAGCTCTCAAATAAAAGTAACACCTTGAATACTAATACTGTTGTAAATAATGCAAATTATTCCAAATATGATTGTGCCTTAGTCTCTACTTATGTTAAAGGGAATTTGAGTTGGTTTGTGGAATTAAAATGATATACATGGGATATATATGTGTAAATGAAATCAATGTTTTCAACAGCTTTTTTAAATATATCTTTAACTGCAATTTGGTATGTTTGTTTCTAACTATTTATCAGTAGAAATGCTAATATCTCTCTGTATAACTTTGTTTTTAGGCATGTTTCCTCTCCCTGGATCTTCTACCTTTGATCCTGAAGAAGAACTAGAAGAGCTACGTATGAAACTTCAAAGAATGGAAGGTGAGTAAAAAGATGCTGTTAAATTAACTTTAATGATAAAACTAAATTAAGAATGCTTTGTAGTTCCCATTCAAAATATTTATTTGGAAAGGAAATTACACCCAATGTAGTTCTCCGTCACTCTGTTTTTTGTTATAAGAGAATATTAAGGTAGTAGAGGCTAGGTCAGTGAAACAGTGTTTAAGGATAAACTTAGTTTTTTCAGTGTTGATCTTAAATTATGCCTTTAAAAACTGACTGTGATGTGGTTTAGATAGATTTTGTACATCAAATACAATCAGTTAATGGCATGTTCGTTTGACTTGTTATCATGTTGCTATTAAAAGTAACACCATGAATTGCTCTATATATTTTTCCCCTTAAGGTTGACCCCTGTTATTGTGGACACCCTGGGAGGGTGATTTAGTGTCTGTAATAGCAAAAAGTTTGTAATAATGGGGTACAAGAGAAATAAAATTTTGTTTTGTTTCTCAACATGTGAAATAAAGTTTCCACAAACCAGAAAAAGATCTGGCTGTAAGGAGAAGATTTCATATGTTTACACCCAATTGAAGAATGGTTTCTCTATTTCCATTTTTCATAATGTCAGTTCATAGTATGCAAGTCATGATTTTGGACAGAGTAAATAAGTGTCTGTAATAGCAAGGAAAAAAAACAAGTGAAAAGTCATGCTGGGGGGCAGGAAAGAGTCTGCATCATTGCAATAGCAAGAGTCTGTTATAGAGGGAATGTATTTCAGTCATTTCTGTATGTGTTTCTCCAGGGGCTGGCTCTTGTCTACAGTGGCAAGGTGTCTGTAATAATGAGGTGATCGCAGGGCTAGAGTCAATTGTAGATTAATCCAAATTTGGCATTGTCTCATTCTCTACTTTAGCTAAAGATGGTATTGAGTTGGCATGCATAATAGTTGTTTTAAACAATGATCATTGGAGTTGTAATGGAGAACTAAGACTATTTAACTTTAACATGACTATAATTGGCTGTTTGCACAGGTATACCTGTTGTTATCTTTTCTGTGTTAAGTAAGCCACTAAATTTCTGTGTAAAGTGAGAGACTGAATTTTGAAAGGCTCTGTATACCTTTGCTCCCAGGTTCTTCATCTCCCCTTCTTCTCTCCACCACTGATCTTGAAGAAAAGCTGGGGAGAGTATGTGAGGACCTTAAGATGCTAAGAATGGAAGGTGAAAAGAAAAATTCATTTCTTATCATTTTTAGGGAGATACTGAACTAGGAATGCCATTAACTGTCCATAAAGTTTGCTTAGGTTTAAAATGAGCTAACATAATTATTAAATAGGTAAAAACCAAACATTTGCGACACTTAGTCATCATCAGGGCAATGATGACCTAATGTTGAAAATGTTTGGTTTTTATTACTTTTTTAATATTTTAGCCATATAAATAGCTCAATGCCTTTGAATATTTTCACCTTTTTTTTTCTAGTAAATATTTTAGAGAGAAATTATTCCTTATCTGAGATATTAACCTTTTCCTGTCTTTATTTTCATCCAAGAATACTGTTAAATACTCTCAGCTTTTATTCAGTAACTTAGTTTAGTTAAGGAACATATTTTCAATTCAGTTTTGCCCCTAAATCCAAAGGTAGTATTGAATTGGCTGCAGCATGTGATAATGAAACAATACTTAGATAGCTAATTTCATTGTTCTCTCCCTTGACCTCAATAGATGTTATTATGCCTTTACTTTTTATATCAGGTGAGGCACTTAGTGCTAAATATATTTCCTTGTACCTTTGCTCTCAGGTGGCTTTCCTGTCCTTCAATTTTCAACCGTTGATCTTGAGAAAAAACTAGATGAACTATGCATGGAGTTTCAGAGGTCCAGAATGAAAGGTGGATATAAAATGTTTATTGATTCATTATCAGAGAGAAATAAATCCAAGAATGTTATTAAAGGCTTTGACCCTTGTATTGAAATATCACTTTTGAAGGAAAATTGTTCCTTATTTTAAAGAACCTTTTATCTGATTTTATTACTATTGATGAATGCTTCCACTTCTTATTCTAATGTACATTTTCACAGGAAACTTTTCCTTAGTAAAGATAACCCTGCTTCCTTTATAGTTAATTAGTGAGATTGCTGTCCTATACTTTCAGGTATTATATAAAGTGTTAGCTTTTATATGAATTTTTTCTTAATTTGTTCTTCCTTATTCTGTGCCGTGGCAAAAGGGAGTATTAAGTTGGCTGTGGCTTATTATGATGAAACAGTTTTTCTTAATGGTTGATTTCAACAATGACCATAGGAGATTAATCAGAAAACTGACACTATAACTGTGCTATCACATGACCCTAACACAATGTGCAGTATGAGTCTAATGCCTGTTTTTAACCATTTATGTAAGGTAAGGTGCCGAATGCTAAATAAGTGTATCTTACTGTTTACCTTTCCTTTCAGGTACTTTGCCTCCTCCTGAACTCTTTACTGCTGATCTTGAAGATGAACTTAAAGGACTACGTACAAAACTTAACAGAGTCAGAATGAAAGGTGAGTGAAACATGTGTATTGGCTTCGTTGAACAGGGCAAAAGAAATATGGAAAGTGATGCAAGGAAATGGTTGCACCAGTATTTTAGGCTTTTTTAAGTAAAAAGCTGAAAGGTTTTAGTTTTTCATGCAGGACACCTAATTTTATTTTATTGTATAGATACTGATGAAATGCCAGGATTTTTTCTTTTACTCAAAAGTCATATCTTCACCGCGCGCAGTAAAAATGCTATTTTTATCTTTCTCGTGTGAGGATATTGGTGTCGCCATGGTTACTAACATGATTAGCCAATTACAAG